TGAAGGCAGATGTTGACATGGGCAAGGCCTGAAGAAAAGTCTGGCATTGTGTTTTAGGTCAAGAATAACAGTGTAGTTACATAGTATGCTGCAGTGACTTTGGTCTTGTACTGTTAAGGGGACCAAATTTATCTAGAAGATTCCAGAAGATTTTAAGAAGTAAATAAAAGGTTGCTAGGACTGCATAATTAATTCATTCTGGGAAGTTGGGTGAAAAATGTTGTTTTTAATGGCAGTGAATCACTGTTGTATTGATTTGAAGCACTCTGCGCGCGGATCTGCCAGACACAACGTCAGGAAGGTTTATATCAGTTATACAAGAAAATTGGTTTGTTTGCTTTTCCACAACATGGTGCTGGAGCTGGACAGCCTGCCAGCAGCAGCAGAGGCACGTCTGGTGGCCGATGAGGGGTGTAACCCTACTGCTTTTCTGGTACCCACGTCCCCTGAAGCAAGGCGACTCTGGAGGCTTCCCACACCCGACAGGGCTCTGGCTCCTGCGGAAAGGCTGTCGCCCCACAGAGCAGGAAATACTCTTTTCAAAGAATCGGAGGACAAAATTGACATTCAATATTTAAGAGAGAAAAAAGGAACTGCCACAGCCAGGGAAGCTGTGGGATGGGGCTTTTAATTTTTGTGGGTTCAGAGAGAGCCCGGGTCCCCAGGAAAATGAAGTTGGTATTTCAGATTTTGCTGCGTATCAGTAGCGCTTTAAACAAAGCCTTGTTAGCCTTGTCTTTACTTGATAAGACTTCCCAGGCAGAATTTATGCACTTCTGCATTAACCAAAGGAGTCACCACGGTTACCTCATTGGGCCTCCCACGTAGCTGCTGCTATATATATGCTTGGCTTGTGAGCTTTTGCTGTATACATGTGGCTCAGCAATTGTATTCGCTTTTGTATCCAAATTAGGAGTTTGGGATGGTGATTGGCTGATTTCAAAGTGCCTAAGAGAATGGGGGAAATACTGGGGTTTTTCCATTTGTTTTTGAAATTATGTGTTTTCAGGAAGTACAAATCTGGAGAGTTTTACAAAGAATCAATCTAACAGTGAATTAAATTACTGTAGCATAAAATCATAGGAACTTAACTTCACTGTGTCGTTTTAGTAAGAGATTCAGTAGGAAATTAAGAGACTGCCATCCCCCCAAAGGAAAAACATGCTAGATCCCGGGTTTTGCCTCTTTGCTGCTTCCTTGTCTGTCCTTCCTTGACTAACAACAAGCACAGTCCATCAGCATCCTGCACCTAAATGTTCATACCACAGTGTATTTGAAAATTCACATCTTTCACAGAATGGATCTCAGCAATTCCTTTGCTCTAATGGACACGTCCGAGATGTCTCTTCTGCAAACAGTCTTCACTTTTCACATGCATACCTTCATGAAAGCTTTATGACTTACTTTACTCTGCACAGGATACTCCCATTTTACCTCTTAGTAGAGTTAGAAATCAAACAAACGTTTTATTTCACCCCAGGTTTATCCCAAATAGAAGCAGCCATGCCATAAATAAATCTATTGAGCTTCCTATAAAGGTGTGTTGTTCTCTGTGCTGTCTGTGGACAGGATAGTTAAAATACAACATAATCCACTGTAAAACAAACACCAATGACTCTTCTGCTTGGAAATGGCAGTGAGTAAAGCTCTTCCCCTTTTGAATTGACAAGGCAAAGGTACATGCAGGGACCTGATGAAGTGCCAGCAGACATTTTTTAATGGTTAGCTTTTATTGTTTCTATTCAAAGGTTGATATTTGACTTGGTGAAGAAAAAAGAAAAAAGGAATTGTCTTTTAAAAATAGTTATTTCTAGAACATCAGTGTTCACAGTACATTTTTTTTTTATGTTACAATATATTTGCAACCTTAAGATAAGGAGGTTTTGTTTTGAAGCAGCGGCTGGTTGTTTGGCTGTATTTCATTCTTAAATTGTTTTTCAGGGCTGTGCACTGAGAACATTCAGCCAAGTATATACCAGAATGAGGTTTTTAATAGGCTTTCTTGGAACTGTAAGCAAATCCATTTGAATTTATGTGATAATTATTGCTTTTAGGTGCCTTATTGCAGTGAAAATTAATTTTTATTAAAAAACCCTTCATACCTTATAATCTCATACACAAAATAAAAGGAATTATGTATTTTAAAATCAGTTTATGTTTGTGAGTTCCCATCATCTTTCCTAAGTAAGGTGGTGTTGCTTGGGGAAATAAAACAATATTGCAGAAACGGTCAAGACAGGTCTTGCAGAATTATGATACTGTAGAAGGGCGAGTCTGGTGCTTGGCTTTCTTGTCTGTCTCTTAGCCAGCGGCTGGCAAGAACAAGTCTTTGTAGCGTTCTACGGAGTGTTTCATTCTAGAAAGTTGATTGAAAAGCTCGATTTTTTTTCCTTTTTTTCTGTTGAACAAACCTGCAGGACAATCTGCGTTTCAGAAACAGTGTTGATATTTTAATAATAAAAATACAACTGTGTGCTGTAGTACTTTTGAGAGTTTATGAACCTCTGCCATTTGTTTGATGAATTTGGTAGACCTTTGCTGATGGCTTGGTTGCTTGTTTGCAAGCTGCAGACCACAGTGATCTTGAAAGAGCCATTATATTCTGTTGAATAAATATCACTAGAAGTTTGCATACTTTATTGCTTCTGAAAGCCGAGTGTGCTACATGCACCCGGCTCTCTGCACATCCCTTTATTTTCCCTTCATCTCCCTACGTGCAGCTTCCTGGTGCTCTATTTCCAGAAGCTGAAGTCATTCGCCAGCCACCTCAGTCCACAACAAGGATTTTGCGACTCTGTCCCAGTGATTGTATGCTTCTTATTTCTCTTTTCTTGCCATGGGATATATATGCATACCTTTTTTCCACCATTAATCTTCATACAAACCTCCTACGAACTTGGAGTCCCTCAAGCAACAGGAAAAAAGCTGCTGGAAAAACCAACTGAAGTGGCCAAGTTCCCTGGCACAGCCCAGTACCTGAAGTTTGATAGTTTTCTGTTAGACTAATTCACTTGCTCATTGGGATGGGGCAGAGGATAACAGCAACAAAATTCCAATCCTGGCACTGCAAAAAAGTTGTGACTTTTTCCCCACCCTTTTCTGGCAGTAGCTTGGAAATACTGTGGATTTGGGTGGAGGGACACGGCTGTTGGAAGAGAAAAATAACATCTGTGCTCACAAGCCTTGGTGAAGCCTTCCTTTTAATTGTAGTTATTAATATAGGATGTGTATCAGGGCCTTTATTCTATTTTATCATTCATTTAGGGGCTAAAGGCCAGACTAGGTACTCCAAAGAGCTGCTTCTGTATCCCAAGTCTGCTGGGGAGCCCAGCAGTGAACCCTGGTGCCCTAGTCCCAAAGTTGCAGATGTTGTAAAAAAACAGTGCTTTATCATTGACAATTTTTATGAAAGAAAGGTTACAAATATGCCATTTGATTTGGCAATAATGTTTTCAAGCCTTCTCAGTGTCAGTCAGACTGCATTGTTTCTGATCTTGCTGGGTTTTGTTAGAGCCTGAGAACGTTGTTGCTTTGTTCGCATGCCTCCTTATGTTCAAAGCAGCATCTCTGGTTAGCTGCTCCCTGCGTGGCTTTATTTGTTGCTTTAATGATATAACTGAAAAGACACTATTGCAAAGAAAAAGTGCTTCTTGGATCAGACATAGAGAAGCTGTGCTTTGTTTTTTCAACTTGTTTCCTTGAAAGACCTTCTTTGTTACACATTTCCTAATCCTGCAGCAGTATGTTCTCTAGATGTCATCAGTAAATTATAAGTGGAATGGGATGTTAAATATGTTAATAACATGTCTTTTATGTTTGTATTACTCAGGCAGTGAAATTTGAGCCATATCATGACAGCGCATTAGCCAGATTTCTGCTAAAACGTGGTTTGAGAGTAAGTAGTTCAACGTACAGCCGACTTGTGCTAAAGCTACTGGCATTGTTAAAACCCTTTGTCAAGAAATGTATGCTGACTGTATTTTTCTTTACCTCTAGAACAAAAGAATTGGTCACTTCTTGTTTTGGTTCTTAAGAAGTGAGATTGCCCAGTCCATGCATTACCAGCAGAGGTTTGCAGTCATCCTAGAGGCCTATCTTAGGGGCTGTGGAAAAGCAATGCTACACGATTTCATGAAGCAGGTTCAAGTAATTGAATTGCTCCATAAAGTCACAATGGAGATAAAATCAGTTTCTGCCGAAAAATATGATGTCACTTCTCAAGGTATTTGCTAGCAGGCATTTCATTGTTTGTAATAATACTGTTTTTTCTCTTTGGATATGAAAATCCAGGCAGCAAATTGTCCTGTTTATTTGGAAAATTTGGGGATAAATTACTGTCAAAGGGCATCATTATTACTTCTTTTAAACTGCCAGTGTAAGTTAATAGTGGGTGAACTAGTAATACATTTGTTGCTCATTCCACCCCAGAAAGGAAGAATATCAATGTTATAGACACCCAGTACTTTCCCATACTTTGGCTTATTTTCTTGAACCTCACACCATGTACCTTGGAAACAGCTAAGTTCTTGTACATAATTCTTAGCTGAATGAATGCCAGCACTGAAGAAAGAAACAATCCAGGACACGAATATTAACTGGAAATAAAGAGACAAAGTGACACTTGCCAAGAAACACAGCCCTACCCTAAACAGTCACTGAAAGATGCTTGGCAAGGAGACCAAGGAGACCAGGGAGGAGTCCAGTACAGCCTCTGCTATGCCACAAAAGTAGCTGGTGGATCAGCAGTGGATATACAGAGCACATCTTTGGGGCTTTTCGATGTGCTGAATAGGAGTCTTGTTAGACAAAGATGGGGTGTTGTTATTTCTAGTTCTTGTAAGCACTGCTTTGGAAGCCATAGTAGGGTTATACAATGCCTATTTACTTCTGTGTTTGGCCTGTCTTTATTTTATTATTTTTTTCCCAACTTCCTTAAAAGCTTGTTTGTCATCATTCCTGTTAGTTGCTTGGTGTTGGGAGTAAGTGTGAGAAGACATATGACAATACTCAAATTCTACAGGTCTTCCTGCATGTTCAGCTTGGTATGTACCAGGCCAGGAAGTCTTTGGTTCAAGAAGGCCTTTCTACTCTGGTTACGCAGAAGTGGCTGTGGTGGTGTTTCAAAAGAAACTTGAAGGAAATATGCATTTAGTCTTCAATATATAATGTAGTATCAGTTATATTACCACATAGTGTGAGTTAGGGGACTTACTGAACCCCCATATAAAATATTGTTTCTAAAAAACTTTCTAAAATTTATCTTAAAATGCTCTATAATCTAAATATATCTGGTCAGAATCCCATGTTTTGGAAAGAAACTTGACAGCCTTGCAGATACACGTCTGTAACAGCAGTGGTTTCCATCACATTATCTTTGAAGAATATGTGGGCAAAGAAGAAAAGGTTAAAGAGAAAGCAATCACATTAACACCCACCAGGTTTTGAAGTTAAAGAATCTTTGTATGCAACGTTGTCGTGGTTTAAGCAGAACATTGAAATATGACTTATATAATTGACATTTTCACTGAAGAAGGCTTCCTGAAACTGTGGCATGTCCTACTAATGCTGTATCTAATTTAATTTATGCTCAGATTATTGAGGATATTATTTTTCCTACAGGCACCATCTACTTCTTATCTTTTAAAAATTGCATATCCTAAAATTTCTTCTTCAGTTTATTGCTTCTCCTTTGCCTCATCATTTCTAATGTTCACAGTTGTTTGTATTTTCAGTCTGACTGTTTTGGATTGTTTCATTCTATCATGCATTCTCATCTCATTCTTGTATATATTTTTTTCTTCTGGTATTTTTGGATTTTTTTAAAGAATAAATTCCTTCCTGTTAGATTCATACTAGTCCAGTAGCAGTCATGCTGTCAAACTCTTTCTTTCCTCTCCTGTGTAGTTTCTTTTAGAACAGTGCTCAAGTCTTTGTCTTAATGCAGAGTAATACATATTATATTAT